AGCAGATCTCCCATGGATATCAACAGAAACATAGCATATCAAGTTGTTATAAGACTAAGTACATCCTCATGTATGAAGACTAGGCAAGGTAATCCGGTTTGAGGAGTGTAGGGTCCCAAAATCCAGTAAAAGAGTCAGAAACAGCCCCTGCTTTCACTAGGAGTCCCACAAGAGGACCACACTACACAATTATAATATTTGCAGAGTGCCTGGGTCAGTCCAAGGTGTGTTTCCTGGAGGCCACTCAAAGATGGATCGTCTTTTCTTATCTAATCGTTAGTCTGTCTGTGCCTTATTATTAGGGTACTGATACCATTAGTATTAGAAGTTAATTTGAGCAGTGTTTATTGTTTTCTGGTATTTTGTTGTTGTGTTGTGGAGTTTTGGAACCCTTTCTTTTATTAATTGTTCTGGGATTATTATTTCTTATGTTCTCTGGCATATGTTAATCTTCTCTTCAGATTGAAGTTTTCTTTGTAGTACCTTCTGTAGAGCTCATTGGTGGACAAAACTTTCTTAATTTTTTTTTGTCATGAAATATTTTTTCTTTCTCTAGTGATTGAGAGTTTTTCTAGCTATAGTAGTCTGGGATGCATCATTAGTCTCTCAAAACTTGTAGAAAATCTTTTCCAGCCCTTTTGGCTTTCAGTTTCCGCTGTAAAGTCTAATGCTGTTGTAATGGATCTACCATAATGTATGACATTGTCTTTTGCCCTTGCAACGTCTAATATTCTTTCTTTTTTTTTTTATTGAGAAAAGGAAAAAAAAAACAAACAAGTTTCCGCCTCCTCCCAGCCTCCCATTTCCCTCCCCCTCCTCCCTCCCTTCTCCCCCTCCCCCTACTCCTCTCCCCCTCCCTCTCCAGTCCAAAGAGCAGTCAGGGTTCCCTGCCCTGTGGTAAGTCCTAGGTCCTCCCCCTCCGTCCATTTCTAGGAAGGTGAACATCCAAACTGGCTAGGCTCCCACAAAGCCAGCACATTAAGTAGGATCAAAACCCCATGCCATTGTCCTTGGCTTCTCATCAGCCCTCATTGTTCGCCATGCTCAGAGAGTCCGGTTTTATCCCATGCTTTTTCGGTCACAGTCCAGCTGGCCTTGGTGAGCTCCCAATAGATCAGCTCCACTGTTTCAGTGGGTAGGTGCACCCCTCGTGGTCCCGACTTCTTTGCTCATGTTCTCCCTCCTTCTGCTCCTCATTGGGACCTTGGAAGCTCAGTCCAGTTCTTTGTTCTATATTTTTAGTGATTATGTGGTGTGGGCAATCCCCACACCCAGTATTGTTTATTTTGTATTTAGTATGCTTTAATAGGCATGTTGGTTAGGTATGCCAATTGGACACATGCTAGAGTTATCTGGGAAGAAGGAATCTTATTTTAAAAAAAAAATGCCTCAATGGTTTTGGATCTTCACACCTAGATGTCTTGGGAGGAGGATGCATTTTGTGGTACCACATTGGCTAAGTGGAAAGACTTGAGTTCTAAGAACACGTATCTGTTACAAAAATGGCACTAAAATTGGAATCAATTGAATGTCTGTCCTAGTAATTCAGTGCAAATCTTTGTAGGTTGATAATGGAGTTTTGATATGTACGACACTTTGTAAAAAATGGCAAAGTAAAATGCTACTCGATAGAGGGGCAAGTGGTAATTCTGCTTCTGCAGATAAAAGTTAGCGGAACAATGACAGATCGTGAATGCTTACTGTCCTGGGGACTTACAGCTCCAGTAATACATAAGGTGTCATCCGAGGAAAGATCTGTGCATTCCTGAAAAACTGAAGATTAAAAGAGTGATGGGCATTGGAGTCCTTGACTCACAGTCACTCATTCAGCAAGCATTTCCACAGTCCTGTTGTGAGGCAGTCATGAGACACAACCAGGAAGGAGTTGCCATGCACTGTTGGAGAAGATTCAGTGTATGGCTTTCCAGTGTAGATGAGGCACAGGTGCCATCCACAAAACACTTTGACGAGTAGCTCCCACATATGGAAAATCCGGTCTTTTTTTCAATCATATAGCTGATTTTCTTTAAATGTATATATTTTTGTGGTGTGTATTTATGCGTGTGCACAGTTATTTTTGTGAGTAGATATGTGGGGGGGGGTAGGTGAAAGACATGTTAAGGCCCTAGGTTTACAATAAATGTCTTCCTTAATCACTTTCCACCATATATATATATATATATATATATATATATATTCTTTTTTCTTTAAACAACATTTTTTTTAAAAATTTATCTTACATATCTACCCTTATATATTAATGAAAGGGCTTTCAATTGAACCCAGAGCTCATCAATCAGACCAACTTAACTAACCAGGTTGCTAAAGCAATCCCTTGTTTCTGCTTTCTGAAGTTTGGAATTACAGATGGGCTGCGATACCAATCTGGTTTACATGAGTGCTGCGGATATGAACTTTTACCCTTGAATTTGTGTGGTAAATATTTACCAGTAGTCTACTCCAAGTAAAGATTGTTTTTAGTGTTATTTCTCAATAAGAAACTTATGAATATCATCTGAAAGTCTTTTAATTTGCTTATGGGTAAAAGATTTATACACATGTGTTTATACACATGTAGCTTTGTCTCTTTTAGTGTTAATTAATATCTTATTGCAATAATTATATATCTTGTTGTCATGAAATACCTGGCAAAAGTAACTTAAGCAATGGACAGATTTATTTTGGTTAACAGTTTGAGATATAATCCTTGATACTAGAGAGAGCATCAATGTAGAAACATAAACAAACAAATCTACAGTTAGGAAACAGAGAGAGAGAGGCAGAGAGAGAGAGAGACTGCTACTCTATTCACCTACTTTTTTGAAATTGATAGTTTCACACACGTAAATGAATTTTAGTCACTATCATCCCCATTGCCTGCTCCTTCCCCTTCTCCCACTGAAACCTCTTCTCAATAAGTCCCCTTCTACTTTCATGTCTTCCTGTGTGTATGAGGCACATTGAGTATTATCTCATGCCTACAAGGTGTGGGAAGATTTTCACTAAATCAAGGGCAACTTATCAGTGACTATACAATTTAAGAAAATGGCAACAGTCACTAACCACCAATCTCTTCTTTTGATTTAGCCAGGCACTTCAGCTCATGAAATGGTATCACCCATACTCAGGGTGAATCTTTGCTCCTCAGTTAAACACTTTTAGAAACAACCTCATAGAGAAATACAGAGGAGTGCCTTCTAGATATTATGTACACAATGAACATTATCCGTAATCAATCTCTTATAAACTTAATACCAATATACATCAGTTTTCACTATAATGATGACTCTCTAGCTGCTAAAGTTCACACAATACAAAATGTGTTTAGTTCATCTATAAAACAGTCAGAAAATTTCACAGACCATCATTGCTTAAAAGCCTAAAGTGTCATCTCAGATTCATGTGAGAACTTATAAAGTAAGATAAAGATTAATAAATGAAACAAGTTGCACAACTGCAACATATAGTGGCATACTGTCTACTTTTATGTCAACGTGACACAAGCCAGCGTCATTTGAAAGAGGGAATGGCAATTGAGAAAATGCCCCACCAGTATGGTCTGTGGGCAAGTTTGTGCTACATTTCTCTAACTGGTGATGAATGTGGGATGGCCCAGCCCATTTAGAATAGGTAATGCCACCTCTGGGAAGGTGGTTTTAGAGTGTAAAAGAAAGCAAATAGAGTAAGAAGACTTGCTCCATGTGGAGCAAGTCAGTAAGCAGAGGTAACAGGGCTTCTGCTTCATTTCCTCCCTCCAGGCTGCTGCCCTAAAGTCCTGTATTAACTCCTTAGTCTGGAGATGGTCAAGTATCCTCAGAGCTAAAGAATCACTGAAAAGAAACCAAACAAAAATGAAAGAGTAGCTTTTTTAAAATTGTGTACCAAATCACCTTAACTATCAGGCTTTTTATAGTCTATGAGAGAATAATTGTCTACATGGGTCAAAATGTTGTCAGATAATTTTCTAGTCTACATTTTTATTAAATTAATTTTACAGTTAATTGTTTTACAAATTAAATGTTGTAGGAATTTTGTTATTTGGTCTAATGACCAATGGAATGGAGTGGATTGCCCACTGGGTGTGGTCTTCTCTGGCAATTAGTGAGCCCTTAAGAAACAAGGAATGACAATCAGGGTTCCCTGCCCTGCGGGAAGTCCAAGGACCACCCACCTTCATCCAGGTCTAGTAAGGTGAGCATCCAAACTGCCTAGGCTCCCCCAAAGCCAGTACGTGCAGTAGGATCAAAACCCAGTGCCAAGGCTGGGCGATGGTGGCACACGCCTTTAATCCCAGCACTTGTGAGGCAGAGGGAGGCAGATCTCTGTGAGTTCGAGACCAGCCTGGTCTACAAAAGCTAGTGCCAGGACAGGCTCCAAAGCCACAGAGAAACCCTGTCTCGAAAAACCAAAACCAAAACAAACAAACAAACAAAAAACCAGTGCCATTGTTCTTGAGTTCTCAGTAGTCCTCATTGTCTGCTATCGCTATGTTCAGCGAGTCCAGTTTTATCCCATGCTTTTTCAGACCCAGGCCAGCTGGCCTTGGTGAGTTTCTGATAGAACATCCCCATTGTCTCAGTGTGTGGGTGCATCCCTCATGGTCCTGAGTTCCTTGCTCATGCTCTCTCTCCATCTGTTCCTGATTTGGACCTTGAGATTTCAATCCGGTGCTCCAATGTGGGTCTCTGTCTCCTTTCATCGCCTGATGAAGGTTAATATCCAGGAGAATGCGTATATGTTTGTCTTTGGGTTCACCTTCTTATTTAGCTTCTCTAGGATCACGAATTATAGGCTCAATGTCCTTTATTTATGGCTAGAAACCAAATATGAGTGAGTACATCCCATGTTCCTTTTCGGGCTGATGAGGGAGGAGGACTTGATTGGGGGAGGGGGAGGGAAATGGGAGGCGGTGGCGGGGAGGAGGCAGAAATCTTTAATAAATAATAATAAAAAAAAGAAACAAGGAAGGAGGGTCATGTGTTTTCTTTTGGACTTCGAAGGATTCCTGATGCCATGGCTTTGTGACCTGGTCCAGCACTTTCCCCACCCTACCCTGGAGGACAAAGAGGCAGAGGTGTGGCTTCATTCTGTATTTGTGAGTGTGCTATTTCATCCCTTAATAAATAAGTCCCGATCCAGTACTTCCATAGCCACTTTAGTTAAGTCTTCAGGATTATGCTTAATTTTACCCGTGGAATGAAGAAACGTTAAAGTGATGCATTTATGTCTAGGCTATTAGGTCATTTCACTCGTTTTCATATTTCAGAAAATTTAAAGCTGTTCTGCCCAAAGTACCACTTAAAGCAATGACTGCACTTATAGTGAAAAAAAATCTTTCCATTCTCAGGAGAAAGTATTCAATTTTTATTGAAAGATAAAGGAATAATTTTTCCAACAGACACTTCTCAAACACATTGCAACACTAGTTCAGAGATCATATACTGCTCGGCTCCTATTGAAGATGTAAACTCCTCTTGGAAAGTGACTCACTATCTGATTGAATACACACCAATCAGATCAATTGTTTGTATTATTTAGTTCTAATATAAGATTATTCTTCTACAAAAAAATGTGACAGTGCATTATTTGTGAATATAATATGACACAGAATATGAAATTAATGAATCCGAAAATTAGTTTTATCTTTACCTTTTGGGAACATTTAACAGTGCCCTGTATGCACAGGATATTGTAGAGAATTGCAGCATGATGCGCTAAGGCTCACCCATGCAGCATCTACTCCCATTAGTGATTTTTTTTTTAGGAGGGGGGGGGGTTCTTCCTCAATCAAACCTTATTTTTTTTAACCAAGAATGAATCCACAGACTCTCATTTTCTGTGGAAAAAGAAGCAAAACCTCTTCTCCAAAGTAACATATATTTTGACTTAAACTTTTAAGTCAAGGCACTTACAAAATATGTAAGTTGGATTAATCCAGCAGCATTTATTTTTTTTTAAATATTTTTTTCTAAATATTTATTTATTTATTATGTATACAATATTCTGTTGTGTGTCTGCCTGCAGGCCAGAAGAGGGCAACAGATCTCATTTCAGATGGTTATGAGCCACCATGCGGTGGCTGGGAATTGAACTCAGGACCTTTGGAAGAGCAGGCAATGCTCTTAACCACTAAGCCATCTTTCCAGCCCTCCAGCAGCATTTATAATCAAATGTCTTTTAGCAACTGTTGCTCCTTCTTCAACAATCAAACAATTCAAGGACAACATAATAATATACAGATTCTCTGGGTGTTTTCCATCTTTACATGGAAGCTAAGCCATAGTGAATGAGACCTAGGAGCACTAATCCCCTACCCCCGTGCCCTGAACGGGGGTAGATACATTTGGATTTGAATTCCTACATGTGGAATTCCAATTTCAGCTCTGGCATGGGCTAGTGGTTAGAAATCTTCAGGCAAATGTTTTTTTTTTTTCCATAAATTTGTGCCCCAAAAGTTGGGCGTTGAAGAGCCAGAAAGTGGTGGTGCACGCCTTTAATCCCAGCACTCGGGAGGCAGAGGCAGGCGGATCTCTGGGAGTTCGAGGCCAGCCTGGTCTACAAGAGCTAGTTTCAGGACAGTCACCAAAGCTACAGAGAAACCCTGTCTCGAAAAACCAAAAAAAAAAAAAAAAATTGGGCGCTGAAGTGAAGCTAGTTGCTTCACTTTACCTACTAGTTCAGTTTGTACAACATGAGACTCTTAATCAATAAAAAACTCTGAGAAAGAAATCGGGGTTCAACCTGAAGGTCAAAAAAGCAAAATAGCCATCCACTGGCGCTTACCTCGATCTCACTCCAAATGGCAATCCTACCTCCAGGAAATTCAGAATGAGACTGATCCTGAGAGCTGTCTCCTCCCATTTTATAATCTTCTCTGGGTTGGGATTAAAGGCATGCATCACCTGGTTTCTATGGCAAACTAGTGTGGTTACGGAGATTAAAGGTGTGTGTTACCATGGCCTGGACTTCAAGGCTGACTAGTGGGGCTGTTTTATTCTCTGATCTTCAAGCAAGTTCTATTTATTAATATATAAATGAGTGCCAGTACAGTATAAAAAGTAGTTGTATGAGGAGACTCAATTTTTCTGGAAATTGAATAATTTTTCACAAAATAGATTAAGATGTTTTGATCAGTAAAAAGCACAGTGAATTATAAGATATCATTAATAACAACTACTGTTTTTATTCTCAAGGTTTCTGTAGTAGAGAAAAAGCTTTATTACAAGCACAACTTTCTGGTATCTGAAATTTTAAATTAGAACTAACAATCTATTTAGCCACTTGGAGCAATAGTTATAGTAATACTTAGAATGTGTGTAGTTCTTGTCTGTATGTGATATTAATGAGAAGAGGTTCATTAGGTAAATAACTGTTTCATTCCTTTATCTTTTTTCTTTTTCTTAAAAGTTTGGAATAGTGACAAAATATTTTAGTTTCTATTTCCTTCATTTCTAGAGGCATTCAGAAGTACTAAGGAGAGTTGAATTAAACTACTCTGTAAGCAAAGGATAAAAAGTCTCAAAAAGCAAACACTTTATACACATTCCTTGAAGAAAAATGGAAATAAAGTTGTAAACTCAGTCCTACCAAAACAAAAATGAGAAACTCAGTCATATAAAAAGCAGTAATGTACATAATTTGCAAAAGTTGATCTGATAAATTGACTTTATATTTTTTGATAATAAACTACAGTTATATCATTTTCCCCACTTCTTCCATCCAACCACTTCCATGTAACCCCACACTGCACTCTTAAAATCATGACCTATTTTTAACTGTTATTACATATATATTCCCAAATATGTTTGCAACCTGCTAACTTCATATAATGCTCCTTGTATAATACTTGCAATGTTAGTATATGATCTCAGGCCCTACTTACTACATAGTCCTGGATAACCAAGTGGCAGTCTCTTTCCTGTGAAATATTATTTTTCCAGCTTTCAACATTCCTTAACTGCCTCTAGTACTTTGTCTAGAGATGGGGTATAGTGAGGTTCCACTCCATATTAACGTATCTATTGCTGTCACCCATATCAGATTCATTAGGCAGTCATGTTGTTGAGACTTTATGGGTATAGCTTCACAGATATTTCACAAATAAACTTAATCATAAAAGTTCTAAATTTAGGCTAGATTATGATCTATTGCTTAAAATTCCATAATGTGGGTGAATTATGTTAAAATTATGCTATAATGAATATAGAAAATGAATGTAATGTAAACACAGGATATGGAGCCATATTTTGTATTGAAAGCTGCTATAGAAGAAAGCTCAAGAAAAGACAAACTCAGATGATGGAATGGACCAGTTATATGAAGCAGTCTTGAAGAGGGGGCTGCAAGGCATCCCCTCCTTATTGTTCCATGTTGTCTACAGGAAAGTTACATTTGAGAAAAAGCTATACAACTTTCACAATGTAAGAAGGAAGGCGGAACAAACTGAGGGGGTGAAGAAGAAAGAAGACAGGGTGACAAAAAAAAAAAACCCTACATTTTCAAACTCCTAAAATAAATGGGAAACACCTAAAGTGAAGGAAACGTCCTCTCAAACTTCTGCATTAGACATGAAGTAAATCCACATGAGGCCATGACATGATTTCCTCCTTTTCAAGAGCAGAACCGCTTAGAATTAGCTTGTAGTTTTCCTTTATCAACTTGAGGGACTCTGCTTAAGGAATATCTATGAAATCAATGTACTTATGCTCCAGAAGACAAGAGACTGACATTACTTTATTACTGATATTAATTGATTTTTATTCTGTATATTTAAGGTATGCAACATACTGTTTAGGATGCATATATAGAAAATTAACTTATCTATCAATTTATGTAGTTGCCATTTTCCTTATCTTACACTTACTTCAATGCTGTGAATATCACAACCTCAGAAAAGATCTAGTATCATGTGTTAGTCTATATGAGTCTCCATCTGTTTTCAAGATTCATCCCTGGACAGAAAGGGACATTGTATCCTCAGGTTAACATGTCAGCTACTGGTGCACAAACTCTTTTGTAAGTTCTGGGTCTAGTTAATGAGAACGAAGTCCTTCTGGCTCAGCTGTTGACATCAGCACATTGGCAGCAATTACACTCTGTTTAGAGACTGGTTTAAACCATGGTAGATTCACTATTGTAAAAGCTTCCGTGTCCCTCTGAATGTCCCATGTGTCTATTCACATGTCCACTCTATCCTGCTGTGCTTCATTTCGCTTTCTCTCTTTCTTTCTTCTATTCTTTCTCTCCTTTCTCTCTCACTACTAGGAATACTGTGTGGCTCGAGATGCAGCTGAGATAGGAAAAGGAAAAGTGGGAAGCAAGCAAGCTATCCCACAAGTCCAATGTAAAACATCCTTGTTCAGTTTCTTTATGTCACTCTTCCATCTTTGTCACCAATAGAAGCTAAAATAGAATCATAAAGAGGAACTCTATCACCCCTAAACACAAAGCAGTGGCCAAACTGGATCCATCTTCCAATGAGAAAGCAAACCATAGAGTTCCTTCTTTCCTTCCTTCCTTCCTTCCTTCCTTCCTTCCATCCTTTCATTCTGTCTCTCTCTCTCTCTCTCTCTTGTTTTTTTTTGTTTGCGTGCTTGTTTGTTTTTTTTGTTTGTTTGTTTATTTGTTTGATACAGCATTTCTCAGTAGCTATGGAGCCAGTCCCGGAACTCACTCTGTAGACTAGGTTGGTCTCAAACTCTTAGAAACCTGCCTGCCTCTTTCTCCCAAGTGCTGGGATTAAAGGCATGTGCTACCACTGCCTAGGGAGTTCTTTCTAAATGGTTTCTACACCTTACACCTTGAGAGGCACTAATGGATAATGTGGGTGCTGATCATAGAGAATACACGTTTGGAGTTTGTTCCAAGGCCTTCAGAAGTTTTGACATGTGGACGGTAAATGGAGAAAAGTAGGGCAGGGCTTTAAAGTCTCAAAGCAAACCTGTTATTTAATATACAAATAAATGTATTGACATGAATAAAATCTGAGCCTAAATTAACTGTTATATTCCTTACACAATTTTTTCAATATCGTGCTTTTTCTTTCTTAGAAACTCAGTGGAGTTTCACTCCCCA